AGATAAAACACACACACACACAAATTTTGCAAACTGACCACCTTGATTAGCATACAATGGGCTGACTGTGCCTGGAGCAAACTTTTGTTGAGAGGTAATTAGATGTCCATGCCTGCTTCCTCTCTGTTTGCTGTTGCAATTTTAGAGTTTTTTAATACTGGTAGCCAGATTTTGTTCATTTTCATGGTTTCCTCCTTTCTGTTGAAATTGTCCACGCTTGTGTATTTCAATGGCTTCTCTGTGTAGTCTGACATGGTGGTTGTGAGAGTGGTCCAGCATTTCTGTGTTCTCAAATAAAAGCATGTGGACAATTTCAACAGAAAGGAGGAAACCATGAAAATGAACAAGATCTGGCTACCAGTATTAAAAAATTCTAAAATTGCAACAGCAAAAACAGCAGAGAGGAAACAGGCAGGGACATCTAATTACCTTTCAAGAAGAGTTTGCTCCAGGCACAGTCAGCCTATTGTATGCTAATCAAGGTGGTCAGTTGAAACATTCACACCTAGGGAACCACTGCTGTATGTCTTATAGTGGGTTGGTTTAATATTTGTTTTGCTAATAAAACTGAACTACTGTGTCGCAAAATGATGTATGTCTAAAATGTGTATCACCAACATGAAATGTTTGGAAAGTTTGGCACTACCATGCCAGGCTCTTCATGCGGGAACTCTTGTTCAATTCCTTTCTCCCCACTGAGTTTCTTCTGGGTATCTCCTCCATGTGACATTACAGAGGAAATGTTATATTAGATTTTCTTTAATATAGAAGAATACAGAATATCCTATGATCAGTATGCTACATCTAGATACCATGGTGTGTTGGAGTCTTTAAATAAGCTGCTGTTCTGCTTTAGAGGATTTCTCTCTGCCAGAGTAATTGGACATCTTTTCCTATGTTTTTAAGGGAACATTTACTACTTGCCAAATCAAAAATATTTGTGGTAGTCAGTGATTTACAATCAGTTACCTTATTCCAAACTGAACGTAACATTCTGATACTGGATTTATTAATATTTTATTCTGAGTTATTATCATTTCTGTTTGAAGTTTGGAGTACTCCTTACCATTGTATAAATACTTAATTATGGTAAAGTATTAAATAAAATCTGTGTGATACAAATTTAATTTAAGAATACACATTTTGGAGCCAATGTAGTTGATCAAGTGCAATAATAATAATAATAATAATAATAATAAACCTTTATTTATACCCCGCTAACATCTCCCGAAGGACTCGGTGCGGCTTACAAGAGGCCGAGGCCCAACACATCAATAAAACAACAGCATAACAAATACAACAATAAATAAACTCAAAAAACAAGCAATAAACATTAAAACAATAGCAATAAACATTAGACAATAACACCATGACACATTTAAAAACTAAGGCCGGGCCAAATGTAATGATTAAATTTTAAAAAAATGCTGGACATGACAGGTGAAATGGATAGGTTTTTGGAGATAGGTGCGGTGTGCAGACAATCTTAATCTCTAGTAAAGTGCATTTGGGACATGATGCTTGGAGTTTCCTATTCTGGGAAGGCACACTGGAACAACCACGTCTTCAAGCTCTTCCTAAAGACTGCCAATGTTGGGGCTTGTCTGATGTCCTTGGGAAGAGTCGGGGGGCCACCACGGAGAAGGCCCTGTCCTTCATCCCCACCAATCGCTCATTAATTATGCTCTCCCACCTTTCCTCTCACCTCACTAATTATGTTCTCCCACCTCAAACCTATTTATTAATATTTGAGAAGCTGAGGCAATTCTCCACCCATGTGATGAACTGGGCTGCTATCCCACAAAAGCCTATCCCTCAAAAAAATCTTTAAACCATAGATAAGAGTAGATGCGAGATCCTAGTGTTTGGTTGCTAAAGACCAAGGCGCCTTTCACATTGCTGAATAAAATCCATCATTTTCTGCTTTGAACTGATATATGGCAGTGTGGACTCAGATAACCCAGTTCAAAGCAGATATTGTGAGGTTTTCTGCCTTGATATTCTGGGTTATATGGCTGTGTGGCAGGGCCCTAATATAGCTGCTTCTTGAAAGTTTTAAAAGGTATTACTCGGTGTAAGGAAAAGTGCCAATCCAGTGTGGCAAATATGTTTCCCAACATTGTCTTTGTACTTTGCAGCACCTTAACTCTTGTAGTAGCGGTTTTCTTTCCCTGATAATTGACGTTGTAGAGATAGATAGTATACGTTTAACTTAGTAGGAAATATATGTGAATAGACATTGTTGTTTCTTTTTCAGTGTTAATGTGGAGATTGTCTGGTTTGCCTACTTTGGAACATGCAACATATAGTTGTCCTTCTTCAGGGGTCTCCCACCTCAAACCTATTTATTAATACTAGCTGTCCCCTGCCACGCGTTGCTGTGGCCCAGTCTGTTGATCTGGAAAATAAAGTAACGAGAAAGTGTTGGTTTCTAATATATGTAATGTCTTTCTGCTTGTGGGTAAACAGTATTTTTTGCTGTTTCTTTGCCAGTGTTGATGTGGAGACTGTCTGGTTTGCCTACTCTGGACATGCAACATATCATTGTCCTTATTTAGGGGTCCCTTTCAAATCTATGATACTATATCTCTCTGTGTGTGAATCATATCTATCTTTCTATCTATCTATCTATCTATCTATCTATCTATTTATCTGTCTATCTATCTATCTATCTATCTATCTATCTATCTATCTATCTATCTATCTATCTTTCTATGGCTGGGTGGCTCTTTGTCAGGAGTACTTTGATTACATTTTCTTGCCCTGGTAAAGGGAATTGGACTGGATGGCCTTAAGTATTTTCTGTTGGTCATGGGGGTTCTGTGTGGGAAGTTTGCCGATTCTGTCGTTTGTGGGGTTCAGAATGCTCTTTGATTGTAGGTGAACTGTGAATCCCAGTGACTACAACTCCCAAATGTCAAGGTCTATTTCCCCCAAACTCCATCTGTGTTCATTTTTGGGCGTATTGAGTGCGTGTGCCATATATATCTATCTATATCTATGGCTGGATGGCCCTTTGTCAGGAGGGTTTTGATTATGTTTTCTTACCCTGGCAAAGGGAGTTGGACTGGATGGCCTTAAGGCAGCATTTCTCAACCTGGGGGTCGAGATCCCTGGGGGGTCATGAAGGGGTGTCAGAAGGGTCGCCAAACACCACCAGAAAACATTTTCTGTTGGTCATGGAGGTTCTGTGTGGGAAGTTTGGCCCAATTCTATCATTGGTGGGTTTCAGAAGGCTCTTTGATTGTAGATGAACTATAAATCCCAGTAACTACAACTCTGAGATGTCAAGTTCTATTTTCCCCAAACTCCATCTGTGTTCATATTTGAGCATATGGAATATTCATGCCGAGTTTGGTCCAGATCCATCATTGTTTGAGTCCACAGGGTTTCAGAAAGCTCTTTGATTGTAGGTGAACTATAAATCCCAGCAACTACAACTCCCAAATGATAACATCAAAAAATTTTGAGTGATGGTCACTCCTTGGGTTAGTAGGTGTCTTGTGGCCAAATTTGGCGGCAATTCGTCCAGTGTTTTTTGAGTTATGTCAATCCCACAAATGAACATTACATTATTATTTATATAGATAGAAGCTGAGGCAACTCCCCACCCATGTGATGAAGTGCCATAGCATAACTATGGAATTAGATTCTGGGGTTTTTTTTGGGGGGGGGGGGAAGTACGTATTTTCTTTATAATTTTTGGGCCCTTCCCCCCAAAATTGAAAGATGCATAACATGCATGTATTGTGAGAAGCTTTCAACTAACACTTTCCCTTTCCCGGATCCTCCTTTCTTCAGAGTAAGGTGAAGAGGTGGCTGGCTGAAGGTGCAGTATCGGTATGATGGATTGCACTGTTTTCCATCCCTGAAAAGATCATTGTGGCTGCTGACTGGCCGCTACTGTTGCTCTGCTTCTAATGTACCCCACACCCATTCTTCTTCCCTCCCTGGACATGCCAACCAAATGGCAAGTCATATTGTTTTGTTGACAGGATGCACAGTAATTTTCCCATCAAACGCAGAAACAGCAATGGAAAAATCCAAAGTATTTGAAAAAAACGCAAATAGAATCCCGTGTTAAAATGCTCCGTTTCTATAATGTTTTGCAGATGGATTTAGGTGGATTACTGATGGGATGTGGCAAACTCATGCGATGGGACCCGTTCAAAATCATTCTCAGAAACAGAGTGTTTCCTAATGTGATGAAGTCCTTATTCTCCTTTCCCATTCCTTCCCCACTTCAATTCCCCTTCCCTTTTATTCTTTCCCTCACCTCACACCCATATATTGTGCCCTTCATTTGCTTTTGTTCCATCTGTTCCAGTGTGCTTTCCTGGAATAATGATCCCATAGCACTTTGTCCTCTAAGCACTTTTATATTTTTTAGATCTGCTCGTATGCCCTTCCACAAACGCCACTATCACCTTTTCGTCCATGTCCCAGCATTACTTCCAATTTTAACTTTACATTTGGCCTTCCCACTGTTTTAATTGTGTGTTGTCTTATTGATAATGTTGTATATTTTATTGTCTATGTTTTTATTTTAATTGCTTGTACTGTTGTTATTATTGCTTGTATTGTTGTTTTGGGCTCGGCCTCATGTAAGCCGCACCGAGTCCCTTGGGGAGATGGTAGTGGGGTATAAATAAAGTGTTATTATTATTATTATTATTATTATTATTATTATTATTATTATTATCTCTTCTACTCCCTCCTCACTTCTGTTCACAGTGCACTCTTGCTTTTTAGGCACAGTTGCTTTCACTGCAAACTCTCCTCTTACTCCTAGTCACCCAATCTTGCCTATCCCACTCCTTCCCTGGTTCATGCTATCATGATGCACCTCTCAATATCCCTTAAAGCAGGTCTGTTTGAATGTCATGTTCTCTCATGCTCTCTCCCACCTTGCCTCCATTTTCAAATTGTTTGCTGTGCTGACAATTAGTTGAAATGCTTCCAGTATATTTTTTCCTCACAGTCTTATCTTTACACTACAGGTGGTTTGAAGCAGTGGATGTAATTTTGAAGAAACTGTGAATCACAAATGGCTTTAGCTGGCTGTCCAGACTCCTTTTTGCACCATCCTTACCGGATAGTAAGTTATAACTTAAATATGTATTTAAAACATCTGGAATTTAGTTATTGTTATGCAGTAACAAAGTTTGACAAGTGCCTAGTGTGAACATTCAGTAGCTGGAAAGACAAATTCATGTCTGTTTTTACTGTTTGATCGATTAATTATGTGTGTTTTTACTGCATTGAGCCAGCACAGTTAAAGTGGATTCATTCTACAGTATAGATCAGGGGTCCTCAAACTAAGGGCCGGGGGCCGAATGCAGCCCTCCAAGGTCATTTACCCGGCCCTTGTTCAGGGTCAACCTAAGTCAGAAAACAATAGATTTCTCGAGGAATCTCTGCACTGTTAGATCTTGAAAAACATGTAGGTCAGGGGTTCTCAAACTAAGGCCCGAGGGCCAGATACGGCCCTCCAAGGTCATTTACCCGGCCCTCACTCAGGGTCAACTTAAGTCTGAAATGACTTGAAAGTACACAACAACAACAGCAATCCTATCTCATCAGCCAAAACCAGGTCCACACTTCCCATTGAAATACTAATAAGTTTATATTTGTTAAAATTGTTCTCAATTTTAATTATTGTATTGTTTTTAAGTGGTTTTTGCACTACAAATAAGATATGTGCAGTGTGCATAGGAATTCATGTTTTTTTTCAAATTATAATCCGGCCCTCCAACAGTTTGAGGGACTGTGACCTGGCCCTCTGTTTAGAAAGTTTGTGGACCCCTGGTATAGATGCACCCCAAGGTTTTATTTTCCGTTGCTGGAAACTTTGGTGTTATAACACTTTGTTTGTAATTTTTTGGCCAAATTACAAAGAGTGCACTTTTTTTTACTGATGCGCATTACATTTGCCAGCAAATACTGTTTTTGGTTTCAGGGTTTTGAAAATTGAAGTGCACATTACATGAAATGGCATATTAAACATAAGTATTTTCTTATATATGTACCTAATAAAGTGACTTAAGCCTGATTTATAAATTTTGTGGGAAAATGAAATCCCATCTTTGCTAGGCACTCTTAGGTAACTCTAAGCAAGCCAGGGGTAATGTAATGGCCCGAGTGCTTGATTAGGACTCCAGAACACCAGTGTTTGAATCCTATTAGTGAATTAGACTGGAGTCACTCATTTGTTTATTTGCAGTTGACCAAACGAATTGTGTAAAATAGCATATGAAAATTTCTGCAGTAGACGGAGCTGATTTAAATTAACATCAAACAACATCCTTTCTCTTCCTGGAAGGCTTTCTCTTGTTTCCACCATGATCATAGACATGTTTGGTGAGGACACAGGTCAGAGCCTCCTTGGTGACTGGTTCCAAGTTGAGGAGGTTCCTCCCATGGAGGTTCACTTGGTCTTCTGTCTCCTTTTTAGTTTTTCCTTCTGCCTAGAGGTAGACATGATGAATGTGACAAATATGGCTCTTAATGGCAGTATGCTGTTTTAATTGCATTTTATATTGTTTTAATGGTGTGTTTTTGACAAATCTATAGTTTATGTGTGCATGTGTATACACACATAAATACATATTCGTACAAATAATTTGGAGCTGTATCCAGATATTACTTGGAATTGTATATTGTTTGAAAAGTGAACTTTTCGCATCTCCTAGTACAGGTAAGGGAAGAGTCAGAAAGTGAGAATCAGAGGTTTGACATATCTTTGGAATCCATAGTTTTCAAAATCTGAATTGAGCCTAGTTCTCATCCCCAGCTTTATATGTGCAGTGTTGGGGGGAAGGGGAGCAATATTGCTTATTTATAGGATGTTTTTGAGGTATTATATGAATTTGTATTTGCTCTAATTATTGAATTTGCTCAGCATTGATTATAATGAAAAACCCTCTTGTTTGGTTGTGTGTGTGTGTGTGTTTTTTTTTTTTTTAAAAAATCAAATCCTCATATTCCTGTACATTGTGTTCTGAGTTATTTTAGTAACCCAACTCCTTAAAGGGTGTTAAAGCAATATACTATATTTCATTGAATGTAGGATACCATCGTCTCTTAAGTCACACCTCCTTTTTTGAAATTTGAGTTTTTGAAAAAAATATATTGTAGAATAGTTTTAAGATTTTTTTTCTGCATGCACAATACCTTGTTTTGGTCCAACACAGAGGTCAGCTTGTGTGCAGGAGTCAATTTTCCTACATCTGTGTGTCCATTGGGGAGGCTGGGGAGCAAGAGGTGGTTCAGGAACTTGTTTAGTTCTTTTCCATGGCTCCAAATAGTGAAGGTGTCATCACATATCTGAACCATATCGTGGGCTTTTTGTTGCTGTTTCCAGGGCTTGTTTTTCAAAGTGTTCCATGTAGAAATTTTCTATCACTGGGCTGAGAGGACAAAGGATAGCAAAAGACAAGAGGGATCCTTTCACCTCTGCAGGAGTCTACCGTGTACCATGCAGCTGTGGACAAATCTACATAGGGTCCATCAAATGCAGCATTGCCCAAACATGAATCAAGGAAGATGAAAGGCTTCAACTAGAGAACCTGATGAACCAACCTGGACACAGCATATTATCTGAGAACACAGTAATGCTGGACCACTCTTAACAACTACCATGTCAGGCTGCACAGAGAAGCCATTGAAATCTACAAGCATGTGGACAAGTTCAACAGAAAGGAAGAAACCATGAAAATGAACGAAATCTGGCTACGTATTAAAAAACTCTAAAATCATAACAGTAAATAAAGAACAACACTCAAAAACTGGGGAACTCCAGACAACAAACAGTAAGGGCAGCTAATCACCTCTCAACAAGGGATTCCACCAGGCAGTAGGAAGCCACACCTTGAAACTGCTAGGCCATTAAATGCTAATCAAGGTGGCCAATTGAAACATTCACACCTAGCTCCAACAGACGAGTTCTTTCTCCCACTCTGGACATTCCACAGATATGTAAACCCCATTTTCCTAGTTTTCAACAGACCTCACAACCTCTGAGGATGCCTGCCATAGATGCAGGTGAAACGTCAGGAGAGAATACTTCTGGAACATGGCCACACAGGCCGAAAAACTAACAACAATCCAGTGATTCCGGCCATTAAAGTCTTTGACAATACACAATCTCTTTGCTCAGTCATTAATCTAAATGGATACTACAGTCAAGAAGTCAGAAGAAGATTAGGATGGGAAGGCATTTATGAAGGAATTAGATATGATCTTCTTTGGCAAGAAGACATCTCTATGAATGGGGTGTGTCTTAAAATCAGTTTTTTTTTAAAAAATCCATACTTTGCAGATAACATCACACATTTGTTTTTTGTATAGAAACCCCACTGTTATCCTCCACCCCAACTCTTGCTATTGTTGAATAAAGTGGTGTCTTTGCAAGTATAAAGCTACTGTTATTTCATTATGGTGGAGCTCACTCAACTAGAGCGTTTTGATTGTTTCTTTGAAACCACTTACATTAAAAATTGAGTTACTGTATTTTATTTATTTTGATCCCTAACTGCACATCAAAACGTTGTAAAAAAGATTGCACTACGAAGCTGCAGAACAATACTTTAAAAACCCATAATAAAAATTTGATCCCATCTTTGCTGAAGGAAGATAATAAATAAGTTCAAGTCTTTCTTGAAATCGATTTGAGATTTCCGCTTTATCAAAATTGTGAGTTTGTCCATTTCATCAGGTTCACACATTTTCGTAAACCGATCTCCTTGCGTTGGAGAAGTTTTTTCTTTCCATCTTTAAGTATAGGTGATTCTCGCTGCCATAATATTTGCTCCTTGTGGATAACAAATTAAACATGAGCCAACAATGTGATGTGGCGGCAAAAAAGCCAATGGATTTTGGCCTGCATCAATAGGAGCATAGTGTCTAGATCTAGGGAAGTAATGCTACCCCTCTATTCTGCTTTAGTTAGACCACACCTGGAATATTGTGTCCAATTCTGGGCACCACAATTGGATGGCCCATGAGGTCTCTTCCAACTCTTGATTCTATGATTCTAATATATAGCATTAGTCTTCCATATTTTCTATCGAGTTGATGATCTAATATCCCTAGCAAAAAGAGTTCAGGTTTCATTTTAAATTTAACAATTTCTTCTAAAACCAGAGGTATTTGTGCCCATATTTCTGGGCCTTTTTACAAGTCCACCACATATGATAAAATGTACCAACATTTCCCTCACATTTCCAGCAATTCCTCGAACTACTTTTATACAATTTACCCCTTTTCATTTCTTTCTTTCTTTTTTTTTTGGGTTGATTGTTTATTTCGAGTAAGGGCATATGATCTCTTTTTTTCTGACTCTGAATATTTAATATTACTAATTTCACACATACCTACCAGTCATACAGAACATTATTCCTACCTAGGGGTAGGCCCCTCTATAAGAGATTCTGAATGTAACGGATTGACCTACCTTAAAGGGTTGGTGTAAAAGGAAGAAAACAGGCGCAGCTTGCAAAAGCCTAAGGAGAAGGTTGGGAGGTGCAAACAGGCAGCTTCATAGCCAGAAGTGCAGTCTGATCGGCTAATGAAATTGGAGGGGAAAGCTCAGTAACTGGAGATGGGCAGAGCCAGAGGAAAAGAGAAGGAGCAAGGCAGCCATTTTAATTCAGTTAGGAGTTTGGTGGGGAAGAAGACAGTCAGAAGTTTTGAAGTGGGAAGGAAGGAAGGAAGGAAGGAAGGAAGGAAGGAAGGAAGGAAGGAAGGAAGGAAGGAAGGAAGAGTTGTTTAAAGATACTTCTTTGAGGATAATAGTTAATAGGCCTCTAGAGTGATTAGAGTGCTGTGAGAGGAAAGGAGAAACAAAAAGTTTTTTAAAAGATCCTGTCTGGATTTTCTGTGTGTGGAACCTTGTTTTAAGAAACTCAAGATAAAAATACCATCTTCTGTAAGAAGTAAAGCCTGACAAGTTATTTGAAACCATTACACATATTGATTAATACAATTAAGGATTCTGCTTTTTTGGTAACTGGGCAGTGAAGCCCAAGAGCTCCTTGTCCTTAGCACTACAACAGTCAGAGGCAGACATAGTAATATATCAAAGCTGCTTCTGTTGGC